TATTTCTTTGAATTGTATTATTTCTTTACTCGTAATCAGTATGTTCTATTATTTGGTTTCTTTTGTGCATTAATTTAGTGTGGTATTCTTTTTCTTTTTTTGTTAATTGTTGAATTGTAGTTTGTTTTTGTGTGGAAAAAGTTTATGCAAGCAGGTAAATTGATAGATTCTATTTTGTTGTATATAGCTTTTTTATGTTATATTTTACCTTATGAGTTTTAAAGGGAAAAAATGTGTGAATTAAAAAGAGAAAAGAAAGCAAAACTAGTGTAATAAACTTTATTTCACACTTACATATTTTTCATGTAAACTCACGGTATAACTTAATTGCTTTTAGGTTACTTTTTACAACATGAATTCAAATGTTCAATGTTAGAATGACTATAAGCTTATGTAATTATAATCCTTCATGCGTATGACCCAGATTCACTTAAAGGATTACATATTCAATACTAAGCCTCATCTTTATAACCTTTCAACCTGAACTAAATCAAACCTCAAATCACTTTAATTAATCAATAAATAACGTTGATCAAACCTCAATTCACTTGAATTATTTACAATGTTTTTTTGTATATATGTATTTTGTCAGAATGTTTATATAAATGTATTATGTCAGAATGTAATTTTTATGTATATAAATGAATTCTTTAGTTCTAATCTTCTAATTACAAGCAAATTGGTTTCTTTATTCAGGATTCTTAAAGAATATAAGGTGATTTGGACTTTTTCTATGGTTGGAATCAAGTGATTTTGCAAAAATGAATTCTCTCAAGTGCATTTTGGATTCAAAAAGAAGATCAAATGCATTTTGTATTATAGTAGAAGATCAAGTGTGTGATATAATGTCAAAATGAGAAGGTTTTGGTGTAAATGAGGTAATTTTGATATGTTGAACTATTTTGGATGATAATGAAACATGCCTTTACATGTTCTTTTTTCTCTTTTGATTACAAATGCTAATATTCGAGGGGTTTTTGTGTGTGTTCTGTATCGTTTTTATAATTGATGAAAAGGGTTAAGTTTGCATTCTGTCAGAATTTGCATGAAAAGGGTTAAGTTGGGGAGTTTTTTTTCATATCAGAATGCAAACACATGTTTATTCTATGAGAATATAAATATTACATAAAACATGTGTTGCTAATAATTCTGACAGAATACATCTATACATGCTTTACAATGTTTATGCATATAGAAGAAAAGACTATGATTTAAGTACATTTTGTAATGTATTCTGTTAGAATTTATTTATTCAAATGCATTCTGTTAGAATGTCTTTTGAGAATGTTTGTTAACAACAAGTATATTTGTTTAACTGGTAATACTAACGAGTAATGTATCTTATTCTTTAAGAACGGCATGGAGAAGGAATTCAATATTGATCATACAAGAGAAATATTTGGTATCGAGTTCAACAACAAGTATATATGCGAAGATAAAGTGGATTATATGGACCACTGAAGAAGATCAAGTGTATTTGTTCAATAATTTTATATTCAATAATGTTATTTTTTTAAGAATTTTATTCATTTTTGATGATATTCTGTTATAATATGTATAACTATATTAAAATGTATAAGGATAGTATTTTGTAAGAATATGTATGAATTTGTATTTTATTTCAGATGTGTATTAAGAATAAAATCATAGACCCAACTTTGATGTATATGAATAATATCTAGAATTCTTAAATCAGGTTAATTATCAAAAATATCTGCATTGGAAATATATTCTGCAAAAATAAAATCGAAAATATATTTACTAGTTTATGGTTGACATTTTGTCATTCTGACAGAATAAAATCGGATTTTTAAATTTGAATTAATTTAAAATATTCAGATTTTTAACAATAAAGGAATTAATTATCCCTAAAAATCCGAAAATTTCCTTTTTTAATATAGGTTAATTGACTAAAATGCCCTTATGCTGAAATTTGTGTGATTATATGATACATGTTACTCTATTGTAATATCATAGACGTTCAGATCATGATCTTTGATTCTATTCCATCCGGTGGTCAAGATCTGTGCATTCTAGCACACAATAGTTAGTAAAAACAAAATAATATATATATATATATATATATATGGTCGGATCATTATGTAGCACGGGGTAGCACATGTTACCCCTTAAATTTTTCCGTCAAATGTAAATTTAGTGAAAATTTATCAAAATTTGTCATAAATTCATTGGAAATCCATCACAAATCCGTTATCAATCCTTCACAAAGTCTGGTAATTGTGAATTTAGTATAAATTCGTCGGTTTCAGGATGATTTTGTGACAGAAACTGCCTTTGGAAATGAGTTTTTTTCTAGTAGTACAACCCCTAAAAAATTTGCAACCCCTGATTTTTCGTTCTTGATATGCCACTATATATATATATATATATATATATATATATATATATATATGTACGCAATTTAAGGAATTAAGGTGCTACCCCACACATGTCGTGCATAAGGCTGTCCGTAGTGGTCATGAGTGGGTTATGAGTGAAGAGGAGGCCATGTCACCATTTAACAATTTCACAACCAATCCACTAGGTTGTGGAAATGGTATTCACTAGTGGTCAGGCTATGAAGAGGCAAAAATGAGAGAGAGAAAGAAAGAAAATGAGGGAAAGAAAAGGAAACCAATCAAATCGATCGTCTTCCTCCATCTTCACATGCACTCTACACCCAAGCCACTGACCATTGGGGCGGTGTTCACGCGTCCCTTGGTCGGACACATCAGCTTCACGCGTCTTCTTCTATGTCCACTCTAGACAGCCTGAACAAGCATATTTATTAGACAACATATGCTAAGTTTGGACCCATGAACATTATATAATGAAATGTCCTAACTTGGTTACAATAAAATGAGGTGTCCTTAACTGGCTGGCCCATGGAATCGAGTTTGGATTGAGTGTCCACAAAAGTCCGACTAGTTATACAATTTAGCATATTGGCTTGCATGATAATGATAATGACACTAATAAAGGTAGTTTCAGTTGTGCATTGTGTAGCAGAAATGCCAAAGAAATAATTAAGAGAAGTAAGTAAGCAATGGCAAAGTCCTTACTAAATGGTTCAATTAGTTATAGTGTTTGGAGTATGTACATAAGCATAACAAGATGACATTGTTATTTAGGCTGACCATAACCACCGAATCACACAATATAAGTTATTAGTGAATGAATAGATTGATTTCATGACCAATATGAAGCCTTACAAGTGTTTTCAAGGAAGTTAAACTCTAAAAGAGTTATGGGTTGAAACGGACCAAAAATTCACTTGCATGATTTTGGACCGTTTTGAAGCCGGGTTTTATGTAGAGGTGCACAAAACCATTTTTTTTTTCCTAAATTAGATTGGTTTTGGCCAACAAAATAAAAATCAATTCATATCCAAACCAGTTTATGAACAAAAATATCAGAACCTATAGGTACCGATTAGAATTGGTTCAAAACTAGTTTGAAAAAAAAAACTATTTTTTTCGTTGGTTTTTATTATATTTGTCAAATTTGCTTTCGGTATCGGAATTTAATGAATTTTTTGTGAGTGATCAAAAACGGACCAAAACAGAATATTACAATTTTTTATTTTTTAGAAAAATATTTCTCAGACATCCGGATAGTACAATGGGTGAAAATACAGTCTGGAAACCTCTCTGCACCACTGTATTAACAACAAATAGAAACAAATTAATTAATATCCATAAACCGGGTATAAACCACCGGATTCGCATCAAACCACCAAACCAGTTCCTAAATCGAATTACGTTTTTTAGCGAGTTTTTTTTTTTTTAATGCACATGCACCTCTTAGTTTTGCGTACCTTTAATTGGATGAGGCCTCAGGCTCATGCGATGACATTTGGACCTCAACTGGACTATTAACTAGTCTTTTATTCGATTTGGGCTTTAACCGATGTTTCTTCGAATCCGAGTCATGGTTTCAGTTGGTTTTGTTCATCTGTAAAAGTATTTGTAAAGCTGATATTAAATAACAGCATACATATAATTTAGGGAGGGCCGATGGCTTAGTGACATGTGATTTATTTATAAAAATTACCCAAGGATTTGAAAGGCATAAAACTGGAAGATAGTTCGAAACAAGAGGAGAACGTATGTGAATGAACATACCTATAATTTGGAGAATTTGTGGTCTCAAAAGAAGGGATATATTGTCAAATGACCAAAAATTGAAAAGGGTTTAAAGATAATGACCAAGATTTCCGCTTACACCTCTGCGGAAATAGTTTTTTCTTCTGTGGAACTGGACACATGTGCAAAAAAACAAAATTTTGACGTCTGACGGTACTGATCCTTAGAGCAGGTCTTTGCGGAATGTGTATGGCCTCTGAGGAAATGTCTTTCACTTTATGGAATTGAACGCGTGTGCAAAAACACTTTTTCTGGATTAAAAAAAAAAATACACATTTCCACAGAGGTCATATGGATCCGCGGAGCAACCCTCTGCAAAACTAATCTTTACGGAACCAAAGATTCCGACGATTTTGTTAAATGTTTGTTGTTTATTTAACGAGGTTTCCCCTATTTAGTTTCCCCTATTTAGCGCATATCCTTGATTCAAAATACAAATTTTAACTAACAACCTAGGGTTTATAAAAGTTTAAAAGCTAGGGTTTCAAGATTACATCCACAGAGCATAAACGAATTCTGTAGAGACCTCTTCTGCGGAATCTTTGATCATTATTTGAAAACCGATTTTTCTTGGTCATTATCTTCAAACCCATTTCAACTTTTGGTCATTTGACAAATAATCCCTCAAAAGAAAGTCTTATTGAAATAATGTCCTACACCAGAAGGGAGGGAGGGTCCCACAGGTTTTATTCTATTCCAACCCATGCTAAATTGCCACCAATCAATATTCATGTTATATTTTAGTTGTTAAGTAGTGATTTATTAGTTATTTAGAGTTTTGCTATGTGTCTATAATGCTTGTGATCAGTAAATAATGTAAGAATTCAGAAGTGATATTCAATGTTCAGGACTTCAGGCTAGAATATTACATTTTTTTTCTTAGCGGATATTATGATCCACCGTTAAGGAATCTTAAAAATGTAAATAGCCTTTATAATCTTTAATAATACAATATTACAAACCATATTGAGAATAATCTACGTGACAAACATGTTCAAAAATAACGTATGAATTTACTTTACACAAAACACGACACGAACGTTGCTTTGAATGCCATGGATCCACCCACGTGTTTCAGTTTCATTTCTTGGATGTCTTCGCTTCACTATATAGCTGATCAATGCAATCCTACAAATAGACAAAAGAGTAAATTACAAAAATGGTCCTTGTGCTTTTATTTTTTTATTGTTTTTTACCGTAGATAGTCCAAAGTTTAAACATTATTCAGTTTTTGTCCTTATTTTAAGGTTTGGACTAAAACTGAAAAACATTTCAACTTTGGACTAAACAAGACCATTATGTAAATTAGAGGTACCTTATAATATTTTAGGAGCTGCTGCCTCTTTAGTTTAAAAGTGGGAGTTATCAATTCCCTTTCAAAGTCAAACGGAAGTGGCTCCAAATGAACCGCTTTCAGCATCTCAAAACCACGAAGCTGTGTACCCGATTTATTTTATCACCACCCAAAATAATAAAACAACAAAATATAACAAATTTCTTATTTTAATTTAAAACTGAACTTACTTTATTTTTCTGAGCTTCAGAATTAAGCTCATCAAGGACATATTTTCTAACATTCAAGTTGTTGCACAACGACACAAAATCCCCTGATTCGCCATTCTTTTCTGCCCATTCTTCAATCGCCAATCTATCCGGCACCACAACACCAACTAGAAAAGATTCAAAACTATTTCCGTACACCCAAATCTGTCAAATCACAACAAATTTATTAATGATTATTATAATTATACTATAACATTATAGTCAGTATTAAATATTTGCATACCGAGGTTACCAAGGGGCAGCGTGAATACGTGCTTTCAATGTTTTCAACTGCAACATATTCCCCTTGTGACAACTTAAATATATTTTTTTTCCTGTCGATAACTTTCATTGCGCCATCAGGCTGCCATTCCCCAATGTCACCTGTAAATTGCAAAACAAATTTTCAAATTTTTGTACCTTTTTAATAGTAAAAATAATTTTTAAATGTTTTTACCAGTATGGAACCAGCCGTCCACAAGGACAGAGTTGGTAAGATCCTCTCGCTTATGGTACCCTGAAAATAAAGTGTTTCCCCTCAAACAAATTTCGCCACGTGGCACAGGGGCAAGAGCGTCATATCCCATTTCTGGCACCGACTCTAGCCTTGCTTCAATTGTTGTCATTGGGACACCAACTGTTCCGATCATGGAATGCACATTTGCTATGGATGTAAAACATCCACCACAACTTTCGGTAAGACCTGCCATTTTATAAATTTTTACAAAAAGTTAATTAATATTTAATTATTATTATTTATAAAAGATAAAAGATATATACCAACCGTATCCTTGTGAGAGGACAGTGCAACATGTGACTCTTAAAAATTCCTCAACGTGTTGTGGTAAAGGTGCAGCTCCAGATAACATAAGACGAACACGTCCTCCAAACCCTTGTTTGATCTGGAATAATAAAATCATAATCATAAAAATGAAAATTTTTAAACAAATTATTTAGTAAAAACAGACTGGGATTTGACCTTATCGAAGACCAGCTTGTCCAGAAGAGGGGCGGATTTGTCTTGTTGGATACCCTTTTCAAGATTCCTCAATTTACTGTTAATTGTTTTTAGGTTAGTCATAGCACAGGGAGAAAGAGAATAAATGGAAAATGATGAAATAATGAACATACTAATTGTATGCAAAGTCGAATAATGCCTTTTTTACAGCACCTCCGGTTGAAATCTTGGCCATAATACCTAGAGTGATTTCAAATATATAGTTATGTAAAATAATGAATGATCTTGAAATTTTCAAAACTAGTTTTTTTACCAGTGTAAATGCGGTCATAAACACGTGGAACACCACAAAATATGGTTGGTTTTAACACAAGAAGGTCCTCAATCAAATATCTGATATCCTGAAAAAAGTTGGATTGAAATTAGATTTTGTAAGACAGCTAGATTATATACAAATTAGCTAAATTCTTACTCCTTGCCAAAACCCTATTGAGGAACCACTGTAGATGCAATATGTCTCCATTATCTGATCAAATATATGTGCTAATGGAAGAAAAGAGAAGTAGGTATCTTCTTCTGTGGCCTGCAATATAGGAGCAAAATATGAACACAATATATTAAAGAGACAGATTATATTGCAGAATTCAGAATTCAAAATTCTGTAAAGATGGAAACTTTTGATTTGCAACTTACAGGTTTGTCTGTTTCTACAAGTAGTTGATGTACAGATAGGACTTCAGACATGAAAGTAGAGTTATTTAGTATGACTCCTTTTGGTTCTCCAGTGGTCCCACTTGTATACATTATTGTGCAAATGTCAGTTTTATGTTTTGCAGGGAGTTCATCATCCAAGTTTCCCTGAAAATGATGAACAAGATGTGATCATTAGTTAAATAATTGCTGGAAATTTCTGATTTAAGCAGCAATACACTACTTACCATTGAAGTAAATTCTTCCCATGAGAAGCAATCAACACCTTGTTCCATGGCTTCCTTCTTTTGTGCTCCAGAGACATTCCCAAAGCTCACGATAGCTTCAACAAGAAGGACACAGACAGAACTTAGTCATTTTGAAAATGTACATATATTCTTTGATGAATTGATTCGTGAAGTTGGCTTACTTTTTAGATTTGATGAGCAATTTCGAACACATGATAATACCTGCATGAATTATTTATAACCAACCAATCAAGAAAATGATAAGAACAAATGTCTGATAGACTTATAGGGAGGATGCTCCATATGTAAAGCTTATGTGCATATGTAATGCAATTAAGGAATTTGGATAAAGAAGATAACAGTATAACTTACAGCAGGCAACTTGCTCTCTTGAACAAAAACTAAGGAAATTTCTGCATGGTTGATGATGTACTCAACTGCATTAGCACCTGTGGCAAGGATACTCAAATGGTGTTTAGATTAATACAAATAAAATTGACCTCAAGTTTCAAAAATAAAAAGACATGGAAGTGTACCAAGTGTGTCATAGAGGGGCACATAGGTTATGCCATTGCAGTTACAAGCCTGTAAAAAGATGAACTCGACAAGATCATTTTTTTGCCTCAAATGAAATTCACAATAGAAGAGTATGATTAAGAAGATATACCCTACTGATATAATCATACCTCCATCGAAATTATCCATTCGGGACTGTTAGTTCCATATATGCCGCATCGATCTCCCTAAATTCAAATTTGAGAAATTGAACTTAATCATACCAAACAAGCAACTTTTTAACAGACATGAGATTTAATCAATAAAGAAAGAAACGCTTAGAATTTTCAAATTAGGACACATCTCTCCACAGTCACTATGCTCTATAGCATAAACGAAATTTTTTTGAATAAACTTCACAACTGTGTACTATTTTAAAAACTAGATATATAAATAGATATAAAATTATCGAAGTCAGGAACTCACTGGATTAACAGATCGGGTACGGATGGCGGAAGCAATTTTGATAGCAGAATTGTAGGTATCTTGATATGATAGCCATGAATAACCACCGGCCTGTAAGAAATTGAATCCAATCATCATCTTCCATGGAGTTCATATATTCATACGAACGTTAATGGCGGATTTGCGTACCTTTCCATCGATGATTTGACGACGACCAAGCGCAGGGTTCTTTGGGTTTCTCTTAACTGACTCGCTGTAACCAATAACCAAAAGCTTTTAATATGATCATCTAAAACCTTTCCGATTGCTTTCGATATTAGGGGGAGTTTGGGTTATCTTGAGGCAAAACGGCTTTTGGGAAAAGTTACAAAAACCACAGTTTTCCTTTTAAGAAAAATCGAGCTTTTAAGAGCTTTTACCAAAGACAAAACTGCAAATTTGGTTACTGGTACGATTTTTTTTGGGTTTTAGTCCAAACCATCGATTTTTTTGGATTAGTGGTCATTTTGAGCTAGTTTCATTGCGTTTTCGGTCCCTCTGAATAGTGAAATGACTGTAATACCCTTAGGGTATTTATTTTCCATTTTTCTTTCATTTCTTTTTTAAATCTAATATTAATTTATTTATTTTAATAATTAAAAAAATAAAAAGGGTCTCTCTCTCCATCACGAACAAGATGAGCATAGTTTCTACCCCAAAATTCATTGTTATACATCGTCTTTTCTCTGCATCTTTACGCCTCAATTTGGATTTGTTTTTCTTTTTGGAAATCGATTCAGATGGGTTCACATTCTTGGGTAGTATCAAATTTTCTTTTTTGGAAATCAATTAACAGGTAATGTGGAAAGCTATATGAAGATGAACAGCCGATTTTCTAGGTTTGCTCTTCAAGAACAATCAAAATTTTGGGTTTGGTTCTGGAACAAAAAATCAATGTATGAATCTGAAAAAGGATTATGGGTCTTCAAGAACAACCGATTTCTGAAAATTTGATTTCTTATGTGTGTTTTCATACCATTTATAGGTTTAGGGGTAATGGAATCAAAGAAATAAATGATGGCACTGAATAAAATCGAAGCTGAATCATCCCATAACTCGATTGGGTCACGAGAATCAGAGTTAAAATCGAAGGTGAATCGAGAACACAATATCATGAGAGGCTCATATCTGCAAGTTTGGAATCGAAACCTGAAAAAGGGGATCGAACACGCCATGACTGCATTTTGTGTGTGTGTGTATGTTGGATCAACAAATCTGTATTTCTATGTATGTTGAAGAAGATGAACGCAGAAAAGTATTATTGTGTCTGAGGTTTGAAGATGGGGATGTGGGTTTTGATAGATTTTTTTCCGGGTTCATTTTGTATTCTTCCATTTGTGTTCATAATCACCTTCAACCTCCACCTTTATCAACCCAAGAACTATGCGCCCAAGTGATTCAGCAACCTACAATCTTGCTTTGCTCCCTTCTGGTATCGGAAGTAGGCAAGAAGAACACAGTGTTACCAAGGTTCACTGACCTATAGCCACCGTCTCGATCTTGGATGGGTTCTATTTGGTGTGGAGAGAGAGAGAGGGGGGGAGGTGGGTCCTCTCAATTTTTAATTATTAAAATGAATAAATAATTATTAAACATTTAAAAACTGATTTTAAAAATAGAAAATAAATACCCCAAGGGTATATAAGTCATTTCAGTTTACTGAGGGACCAAATCCGCAACTTAACTAACTCAAAAGGACCACTAATCCAAAAAAAGTCGGAGTTTGGACTAAAACCCCAAAAAAATACATACCACACGGACCATTTTTGCAATTTTGTCTTTACCAAACATCTTTTCTCTGTTATCTTTATCTAAAAGGACTTTTAGCCTCTAAAAAATAAGCCAAAACAACGGCTATTTGTAATAAATCATGATGACATGAAACATATTCTTTGGATAACTTTTACACAATGAAATAATATATTTAATAAAAGCATTATAACAAATAATAACATATATTCTAAGAAAATCATATTAATCAAGTTGTATAGAATTTGACTTAGCATTATCCCATTTAAATAAAAGCAATAAATTTATTATAAATTTAAACTTTTAACTGCTATTGCATCACTGTTAATCAATTATTTTGAAAAAAAAAACATAATTAACAATTATGTATGTGTACGGCTGACTTTCAAAGTTGTTAGATTTAATTAATAACTTATAGTGATAAAAATATATCATGTTTAGAAATTTGTACGAATAAATTGAATTTTGTTGAATTAGCCTTAATTAACTTTAATACTTTTTTTAAACAATTAGTTATCTTAATTTTATTGTCCAAATCGCTTGAAAACGCCCATCACTTGGAATACACAACAAAAACCCACTATTTTTTGTCATTATGTTCTAAGTTGTCAAGAAAATGACGTTATTTAATGTTTTAAAACATACCATTTTCTAACAACAGAAAACATTATGCTTCACTAACTTGTTTCTTAGATTAACAAATTAAAATATGTATTATGACGTTTAGTTAATTATTAAAACAAATTGGAAGCGTACGAACAAAATCGTAACTATTAATTATCTTATTAGACCGGTGAGATCCTATCTTAATTGGAACCAAAAGTCAAACCGACCCGACGAACCAATGTTTTTTCAAACTTCGATCAAACACAAAACAACTAAAATATTTTCTTTTTTCTTTTAAAATTCTAATGACTCGAAAGATCGATCATATATACTGCCATTAAAGTTATTCAAAATTTCTCCAATCGAAGATCATATCTCGTGAATGATGACAATACTGATAATAGCTATAGATCTTTTCGATAAATATTTATATGTAAAAATCCATATACATGCATATCTAAAATCACAATAAAAAATAAAAGTACGATAGGGTTTTCAAGCATGAATGAATGATGAAAACCAATGAAACTGTAAAAAAATAAGTAACCTGAAGAAGTCCCAGGGTGAGTCATAACCGGGAGGCAACTCCATGAGAGCATCCTTGGCGTAAATGCACCTGTACGCCGGACCTGCAGACGGCGTTTCGCCGGCGGCCGGTCTTGAATCGTCAGCTTTAATGGTGTAAACCGACATGTTTTCAGGCGGAGATGGAGGTGATGGCGAGATGAGTGAGTGGAGAGAGGAGTGGTTGTTAAAAGAGGAGGAAGAAATTAATTAAAGAAGGGGGCCGGGGTCGTGGTGGCTCAGCTGCATTATACAGCGGAGCTTTTATGACATGAGTCTCTCTTTAAAGTTTGCACTCTTCCTGCTTAAGGATTCCCACTCATTTTTCACGTAAACGGTATACAATCTTTAATGCTTCATCTACCACAAATATTAATATTAGTTTTCTTAAGGGATTATATCTCAAAATAATTGATAACTTTCTTTTTACCACTAGAGTAAAATACAAATTCACAATACATGTAATACTTGATGTGATGCGAATTTCATATAACAAACACGCAAGACTATATAACAAAATTCTATATATAAAGATATTTTCTAATTGTTAATTAATTTGTTATCAACGGTAAATAAAGGGTTTTTTTGATAACCTAAAAGACTGAAACCAGGTCAAATATGAATCATTTAACATTCACCGCATTTGATATAGTCTTTGAACCGTCTGTAAACAGTTAAAAAACTATACATTCTTTAAATCATTAAGTTGTTGGAATCATTCTATTAGGGTGAACGCGGTGCGGTTCGGTGCGGTTATTAGCTAAAACCTCATCATTAACCGCAAATGCGGTTAATCCATTTTCAAAACCGCTTGGTGCGGTTATTTTTGCGGTGCGGTTAGGTGGTTATTTTTGCGGTGCGGTTTTTTTTTGTGTTGCGGTTATTAACCGCATGGATTTGGTGCAGTTATTTTGTGTGCTTTTTAACCATAGTTTAGAGCTCAAACGGTTTTAAGAGTTCAAACATATTACTTATAATAATAATAATAAAACTGTAAGGTATAAGACAATTAACTTAAATCACAAACAACTAATATCTTAAAAACGTCAAATCAATAGTAATTAACAATAAATATCTTAAAATTGTTTAATTTCACCATTTTCAAAGTTAAACATAACAAAAAACCAACAATTTTGTCTTCTAGTATTTTATCCATCTTTCATCCATAAAACTTGTCTTATTTTTAATATTTAATATATTAATAATTAATAAAAAAATTATATATAATATATGCGGTGCGGTTTTTTTGCGGTTTTTGAAAACTAGTATCCGCACCGCACCGCAAATTTGCGGTTTTTGAAAAACAGAAAACTTCACCATCGGTTTTTATTGCGGTTGCGGTTTATGCGGTTTTTACGGTTAATTTTAGTTGCGCTGCGGTTTTTGCTCACCCCTACATTCTATACTAAATATAGTTCGGTTTTATGAATAACCATTAGTGAAATTAAGTTAAACTTATAGGAGAAGACTATTGTATTTATCTTTAGATATTGCTTTGTTTTTCTCACCTTTTATTATGGATAAGCTCCAACATTTTGTTTGGATTTCTTTATTCGCATCGACCGCTTGCCGCATCAGATGATCTCATGAGAAAAGATTGCTTACTATATACTATTGATACATATATATTTAAAAAAAAAAAAAAAAAAAAAAAAAAAAAAAAAAAAAAAGGTTATATTATAAAATGTTTCATGAAGAATCAATATATTTCTTTTCTTGCAGATATATGATATTCTTATGCATCATTGTTATTCCAAATAAGTTAATTATATAAATCTGGTTTACGATATTTCCTTTGATTATTCTTTCATGTGGGTTGTTTATATATTTCATAACTAATTAGGATAAGACTTTGAAATTTGTATATGCTTAAGCCGGTCTTATAATTCTCAAAACCAAATTAGTGGTTGTTGGTTTATGCAATTTAATTACCAAAACATATCTAAAACAAAGTTGTAATATTCTTTTATCATACATTAATTAGGCCATTGTTTTTGTCCATACATGCTACATGTAACATGTATTAACAAAGATTTTATAATTGATATTGTAACACCGATTAATCATGAAAATGAGAAATATAAATATTTCTCGGTCCACGTGCTCTTCATTAATTTTGGGTAGTTGAATCACCTTCATTAAATAAATACAACTTAAGTCTCAAAAATCCAAATATTATATATAGTAAAATGTAAAATAATTACAAGAATCGTTTATGTGTTTTACCAAAAATTGTAATTAACTTTATTTCAAAGTTTAAAAAATTCTTAATGTTAATGTCCTTGAATTTGTGTTTCATATGATAACTTTCTCGGTGACAATTGTACCCTTATGTGAATTTTTAATTATTATTTATTATTTAAACATTTACTAATCATATAGTAAACTACAAAAATGGTGTTTATGATTTACAAAAATTCACAACTCTCATCCATATTTGTATTTCGTTATATGGAATGTCGTTATGATTTTATTTTATTAGGGTTTTGGTCTTCAACCATCTAAAATGACTTTCTTATCATTTTCTAAGTCCTAAGTCCGACCAATCATTATTGCCTTTGATAAATTCAAATTACATATTGAAAAGTCCTTATGATTTTATACTATTGATTAATTCAAATTACATACCGAAAAAATCCTTATGATTTATTAATTGGAAATTAATCTTTGTGCTTTGAAAAAATTACATACCGAAAAGTAAACTAAGGAACCTTAATGGCTAGGACATGATTCCCTTACGTTTTGTGTTCACCTTTTTTGGACTTCATGCACGTCACTCTCTTTGCTTTTACTTGTTTTTTTAGAATTGTTGCTAATGCCAATAGCCCAATACGACATATCAGAGTGCATATCTTATGTACCTAAAGAAACATAGAATTTATACGTATGCTTTAAGGAATTGTTAAATATATCAACGGCCTTTGCGGTAGTATAATGTATATATATGGTAGAGGTGATCAATAGAACGGATCTTAACCGGTTTCAAAAAAACTTAGGTATTGTTTGTTTTTTTGTAAAAAAAACATTTTCAAACCTCTTATTGTTGCGCGGCGCAGCACACGCACACAGTGGCGGATCCTTTATACCTGATTTTTGAACTTATAATACCCAAATTTTATGTAAGGGATTGGTTTTATAAGTATTTTTTTGCCCCCCTCGTTCATTCATTATAAATAAAACAAGAAAATCAAAAGGTAATTCATAAATTAGGAAAACTAGATAAGTTATTAACAAATTACCGAAAATTACTGAAAATAATCAATATTAGGATAACAAATGATTTGAAACTAAAATCTATAAAATCCAAAAAAACAATTATAATTTACAATTTTCTAACTCAATCTTTGAGAAACAACAAACCATAAACTAAAGATTACTGATTCCAAAAAGAACTGTTCACCGGGAAAAAAACGGGTCACCCCGAAAATTAAAGAATATAGATGTCTCTGTCTCTCTAGTCTCTCGTTCGCCGACTGTTGTTTATCGTTTGTTGGTGCTTCCTCTTTACCGTTTGCTTTTCCAACTGTCGTTATCTAGTGCTTCCTCTACACGTCGGACTTGTGCTGACCTCAATTTGTTCTTATTTTGTTTCTCCATTCCAAAATCCCCTCATAGTTGTAAGTTTTTTTTTCTTTCAATCTCAAATTTATTTGTCTTTCTTTCTTTATTATATATATGATATATTATATTTTAAAGTTGAGGTTGTAGGTCCTTGTTTATAGTGGCATTAAAAGCCTCCAACAAAACTTGTTTGTTTATTTTTTTATTATTTTGTAATTTTATAGATTATTATATTGCTAACCATTATAGCATATAGCATAAATCTTACGAAAATTCAATTTGAAATTAGGATACTTTAGTTTGTTAAAGGTGTATAGATTATCTTTTATTTTTTATATTTGTTAATTATTAATTAATTTTATATTTTCATCAAAATATAATTATCAGTAAAAGAATTACAATAAATTAAAAATAATCAATCCCTATCTTAATAAAAAAAAAAAAAAAAAAAACCTTTATTCCTATGTGGCATCTCCTAAAGCTAGAATTTTACAAAGTGAATTGTCTATTTTGCCCCTCTCCTTTAATCTCATATGTATCCCTTCTATATTGGTTTAAAATCGAAATTTCTTCTGGTGTCCATAATTATAATCTCGTGTAATCAGCCATGATTATCTACTCAATTTATCTTTTCCGTTTTTTCCCAAGGAATAGATGATATAGCACGATTCATCTTTATCTCGCACGTTGTTGAATGTTTCTTCCGTTTTTTCCAACTTTGATTCGCTGCCACCATGCTCGACCATCACGCTTCCATCAACGCACCATCCACCGATGTCCTTACCGTCTCCATCATCCAACGTCACCATCAATTACCACCATCTCTTCTCCCATTCTGTTAGGTGAGTTGATTTCTATCAGGTTATTCTTTTATGCGATTTGAACTCATCGACACAACCACAATTTTATTGAAGAAGAGGAAACCCTAGATTCTTCAACACTTTCTGCTTCCAATGCCTCTAAACCCTCTCTATAAATTTTTGCATTCAACGCCTCTATACCCTCTCTGTAAAAGAAACCTAACTCTTTCCTCTCTCACACCATGGGTCTAACTTTTGTTTGTGTAAGAAACAACGTGAGTTTTTGTCATATATTCATCGATTAGGAGAACAATTTGAATTATTTCGAGTTTGGGATTGTGTAGGTCCCTGCTTCGCAAGAAGGTTGTTTGCAGGTAAACAACTAATGATCCCCCTACTCATATTCATGTTATTAAATATTTTGCCCCTAAATTCCCTTCTTTCTCCGCAACAGGTTTTAGATACTAAAGTTCATATTTGAAGGCAGGTTTACAAAAAAATACAGATGTGGTGAAAACAAGACAAAGCATACAATAGACTCAAACACCTACAGTTGGCTGTAATGACAGGTTTGTATTGTCTCTTTGGTTTTTTTAAGGATTTTTTTTGGTAATATGAAATTACTATTATTCAATTCTTTTGAGTTTTTAATCTATAGTGAACAACTTTTTTAGGTTTCTGGTGCGTTTTGAAAATGAATTACAATAATTCTTATGTAGTTCTAAGTAGATTGTCAGTGGAATGTTTTGTGATATTTGGAGTTTTTTTAGTCACTTACTGTCTCTATTTTTGGAGGTTTTGTTGTTTTTTTGTCACATTTATGTCTTAAAGTTTTGAATTTGACAGTGTTTATGTTTGATTGGTTATTTGTTTTTCCTAATGCTTGGATGCAGATAAGATGTTCCCGTCAACTTGCAAACC